CACCACTCTCCACCCCAAAAGTGTCTTTTAGAATGGGTCAATGTCAAAGGAAAGAAAAGAAAAAAGGCACCCAATTCTACACAAAAGCCAACTAAAATCTCAAGTCGAACTTCTGCTCCCCCTGAGGACAGGGAGGGGAAGTCCACCACCAGATCAACAACAACAACTGTCACTTCTGCACTGTGAGTGAGATTGTAGTAGCCCTGTTGTTGATTTGCAAAAGGGAAGGTGCAGAATGAAGCCCACACATCCTTTCTGTTGCAGTCACAGCCTCCAGTGGTGGTGGTGGCGGTATACCCAACCAACTAAGCCCAGTTGCAGGATGTGGAAAAAGTGGGAGAACGGTTTCTAACGGTTGAATGAATCTGTCACTTTGTTTGAGGGCTCCATGTTGCTTAACAATGGTTCACGTCAATGGAGGGAGACTCGTGCCCATGGAAAATGAATTTCTGGGTGTCGAGTTTCGCCCTCGTAGCCGAGACCACCATCACCATGAAGAAGAAGAAGAAGAAGAAGAAGAAGATAACATTGAAGAAAAAAGTGGTTTACTGTGAGGGAAAAAACACAAAAAAATATTTTATTTTATTTTATTTTGCTTCCTCAGATGTTGAAATCATCAGACTGTTGCCTAGTACAGCAAATGTTGTTTGGTTGATTTTGTCAAGTTAGAAGACGTTTGAAGAAGCAGAAGAAAGTGCCGATCGTGATTTTGTAAAATGTAGAGTGAGCAGCACTTAACTGTGAATAAAGTGGACGCTAAGCATTCACATTGAACACTACAATCTCTCCCTGGGGGTTGACTGGTAGGACTAGCTGACGATGGAAACACAACTACGCTCCCTGCTTTACTTGTATCTTCATTCTAAAGAGCAAATAAACTTAAGTAGAAACAAATTATGTTTCTGTGTCAAGTACACCTAATTAAACAAATAGCATAGCGGAAACGCTTTTTTCATGCAACATCATCAACGCCTCGAAGGACTTTCAGGTTTGAATTTGGATCCAACAGATCATGGAACTCAACAATGTGTCTAAGAATCTCGACATCCTCATCGAACTACTTACAATTCATACCTCATCACATTTTTATTTTCACCTTCAGATGGAGTTCTTCGGAGCTGATTTTAATGCTTTAGGAAGTCATGGAGTCACTGGTGTTTCTCACACTATTCCACAAATTTCAGTTATGTTATAAAACGAAACCTGTCAATGAAACCACGACGGTGATATGTTGTTGCTTAGATTACTCCCCACAAACTAGTGCTTGCTCCTCTTGACGCCGAACATTAGCAAGTGAAAAGGGAGGACAATCACAGGCACTGCATTAAGTTCAGACTCTCCTTGGAATTGTTTCTACTTGCAAGGGAACTGAGTAAATCTGATGTATCCATATCCACATCCACCGACTTTAACTTGCTGATTTTCACCCTTTGCATCGCTTCCAAAACGTCCAATTCCACATTGCAAAATGAAATATGTGATTCATATATCTAAAGCAAAGCGAAGAAAGAAAGAAAAAGTGTTTTACAATAACCTACTTTCGGAGTTTTTAGAAAATCTTACCAACCCATTCCATTGGATTCATAGAATGGGCAGCAACAGTCCATGCTCTATATTGCATTGTTTTTTTCCTCAAGCTGATGATAAGAGCTACTAACACTTGTTCCAATTTCGACACACAAATAAATCAACTGAAAGGATAATGAGGTATTTAGAATTAAAGTTGTGATGTGAGCATTGGATAAAATTCTTTCCCTGTAAAAGCTTCTCGTATTGAAGTCTTGCTTTGATTCTGTTTTTTATTTTTTATTTTTTTGTATATATATACGCTTTGCTCCGACAAGGGAGACGATATGCTTCAAACAGAACGCTTTCTGGTGACAATGATGTGATTCAAATTTGGAAAATTTAGCATCTCATTTGTTTATTTATAATCTTATCTTATAGTATATATAAACTTGATCACTAAATGTAGCATCATTCTATTTGATATCAAAAATGAATTGTCAAAATTGTATTGTACATACAAATACCATTCAACTTTTTTTGTTAAAGATTTTGTTTACTGTCAAATAAATTGCACCGTGGTGTTTATACATAGTTCAAACTTTTGCTAAAATTCGATTACATTGTTAGAAATTGGAACTTATAGTTATAGAAATAATACAAACTTACCAGATAATATCAAAATAAATCCAACTGAAGATACTTGAATAAAATACATTTGATGTTGAAATTTTAATTAAAAAACTTGATTAATAATATTATAAAATATTATATTTTTATTTATTTATTGTTAATTTAAAAATTTAGAGCAAAGCATGATTCTTCACATGCAAGAAATAAGAGTTTCTGAATATTTGTTACAAAAATACAAGTTTATGAACTTATCAAAAGAATTTTTGCCAAGAATTTTCAACTTTTTGTATGAACATAATTAATGTTGGTGGTTGCATAGATTCAACTTTTATTGCATCTACCAACTTTATTTGTTATTACACTTATGTTGTAACAGAATTTATCTTTTTTTCTTCATCTTAATATTTTTTTTAAAAAGTAATTATATTGATAATAAATTTGATAAATTATCAATATATAAATAAACAGTTTATATCTTCTAAAGAAATATTTCAATTTTCAGATTTTTCTTTTATGATATTAATGACATATATAGAATTTATGGAATTAATAGTGAGTGGAAGTAATTTTAAAATATTTGATTAACATTATCTTTTTTGTAAGACATTATAAAAGTTTTTAGAGGTAAATATGATCTACAACTGTTGTTAGATGTGCTATGTGGTCATACAAACTTCTCTTGAAACAATTTGGATTTGAAACGGTACTATAGAAGTGTTGCACAACTTTAATACTTGTAAAACAAGCTTTGTGGTCCTTAATAAAATTTCAAGTGACCTTTGTCTTAGTTAATATATACATGATGGTAAAACTAAGACCATCTTTAGTCTAATTGATATCTCTCTTGTATTTTAATTCTCTTTAATATTTTTATACTTAAAAATAACTAGTCAAAACATTTGATATATGTTTTTTATATGCAATATTTAAAATTTTAATATTTATATATGTGTATATTAATTATTTTTTAATAATTATTTTTGAAATTTATATCTTTAAGGCTTAGTATTTATATAGCTACAGGAATCATATTACTTTAAACAGTCTTATTAAGTTATTTGTAACGCGATCAATATTTCAACCACAAAGAAAAAAAAGAAAAAAAAGAAAAAACATGTAAAAAATGTGTGTGTGTGTGTATATATATATATATATATATATAGAAAACCAAAAATTTATGAGAGCTCTAAAACCACAAACTGATAATGATTAAAAAAAAATCCAATAAGATTGTACATAGGTCTATAAATATTGATTCTATAGGAAGAAAAGATAAGTTAGTTGTATGTACACCATTGGAGCTTAAAAAAATCAGAAATAGCTTATTTGAAAATTAGACTTACAAGTAGACATGTCCTAACAAAATCCAAGAAAAAATGCTTATATATATATATATATATATATTTCTTTTAGTAAGTATCAATTTTTGGAAGATGAAAAAAATTCAGTTTATTATTTAATCAAAAAGAAAATTAAGATGTTGCATAATTGTTATATGTTTTGTATCATTCAAAGGTAATGGAAATTTAAAATTTTCTTAAAATACAATAGGATTTTTATTTGATTTTCAAGGACTTTGTTTTAAGACAAAAAATTCAATGTACTATTTATTATTGTTGTTGGTTTTTAAAGAATAACACAATTGAGTTTAACTTATTTTATTGAGTACAAATCAGTAATATATTTTGGAAATATTTGTGAATACTTAAGTTGTAACATACATATTATTATTTTTTTATTATAAATGATGCAATTCAAAAAAGAGAGGCCATTACATGAATACAATAGTCTAGGATAACTCTTTGAAAATCTCTTCATATTAAACATTTAAGATTCTACAGTGTTTAAATAGGTTTTTCATATTTAATTGTGACTTACATGTTCTTAAAGTAGGCAACTTTGGCCAAGTATATAAGTATATTTGTACATCTTTTATACACTAAATAAAATAGTATATGGTATTGAGATTATTAAACAATAAATTTATTTAGATGAAGAAGATTTTGATTTGAAGATATAAATCTATAATAATTAAAATCATACAAAAAATATTACATATTTTACATCAATAATAACAAGAATATTTATAAACTGTAGTATTTTTTCTTTGATAGGATACTTTCAAAAGTGATGTTTTAAACTTTATACAAAAATATTCAAATATGCTTTTAATAATCTATATTAATTCTTTGGAATAATTCATATTCAGTAAAAATTTGATTTGATTTGATTTGATTTGATTTTTTTTTTTTAGTTTTAATTTCTATTACATTAATTTTGATATTTTCTTATAAATATTAGATAAGATTAATATTTTATGGTTATATATTATATTTAAAGGTAAATGCAAAGAAAACACTAGAAAATTGCACATCAAAACAATTAAGAGAGAAAATCACATTAGATTATAGTAATTTACATTGTTTAAAATATATAAGTCAAAATCAAATTGGGCATTGATTATTGTGTTCAGTAAAAAGTTATAGTGGGAAAAGAAACCTTTGGGGTATTGTTTATTATGTAAATTGCTAGTTTAAACAATGAAGTCATCTATTTTATTTTTGACACATAACATATGTTATGCGAAATTTATTACTTATATTTTAAATAGGACTTACCAATACTATATTTTTCATTGTATGTTTCGTGTGGAAGTATCGTTACTTCATAAATCAAATTTGAAAAACGGTTATAATTTTTTATTCATTTTATACATCTAAAAAGAATCACATGTAGTATATTGTATCTTTAGGACTGGAAGGGAAACGGTTGGATTCGACATTCTGCTGTAAATATTTCCAGTGTGCAAACGAAGTGGATAGTTTGCTACTCATTCCAAAAAATGCATGGCAGCCTCACAATTATTAAAAAAAAAATAGTACTTTCCATTAACCTGCAACGCCCTTAAAAAGGGAGTAAAAGTAGAGTCTTTCATGGACTGCAGTCTGTCGTTGCAACTACTATACTCTGATTGGCTTTCATAAATTTGGGGTGGGAACCTCACATTCTACTCCTCACAACTGATTCTTCCAACTTCAACTTATATCCGCAAAAGCTTCTTACAACCTACCACTAGAGCCTACCAATTCAACTAAGCGATACTGACCAACTCTCAAAGTGTCATCTAATTCGGAGTCGGACCCAGTAAATGAAAAATTGTTAGTGAAGCTTTTCAACCTGTCTTGATCAGAGGAACTTTATTCAGAATTTTCCTTCACAACCCCAACAACAGCCGGCCGAATCACACGGTCATGCAGCTTGTATCCAGTCTACACACGAGTGAGCACAACTCAGCGTCAGCACATAACCAGGTGAAATCTGACAAATCAAAATAGCAAAGCAACAAATATTAACGACAGCGACAACGGTGGACATCACCTGGGAAAGATCGATACTAGTCAAGGGTGATACTTTTCAGTGACGCACCTAATGAGGATAGAAAATTCAAGCTTTTGACCACATATGTCTACTTGCGGAGTCCCGCAGATTTAATCAAATACGTACCTTTAAGACCACAGCTACAGTGCCCGGGGTTTTATTGGCATCCTCAACTTCGAAGACCGCTTGATGTTCATTCGGATCAAAAACTATGCCTTCAGGATTGAATCGCGTTAGGCCATGCTTCTCGAACACCTGCGAGAAGCGAAAGTTGTCCCATTCAGGGTTTAAATTTGAGCACTTGCGAAATTAAGTACTGCACTTTTCACGCAAGGGCATGTGCAAGAAGACAGATAAAAGTAGTGCAACGCTGTCGAATGCAACTATGTACGACTGAGAAATCGTACAGCAAGATACGAGGTCTCTCTCTCTCTCTCTCTCTCTCTCTCTCACACACACACACACACACCTTCATAAGCTGTTTGTCAGTCATCTCTACACCTTCGAGCAATGAAACCAATAATTTCGCGTTGATCTCTGCGTCATCCGCAGATACAGATTTCCGAACAGTCTCCAAAGCACGTCCAAGGTTGTCAGCGACGTCAAGAAGACTCTGGGCAAAATCCTGCACGTTTCCAACCGTTTAATTCAGGTTCACACAAGCACGCGAATAAATACACGGGCATACAATCCCCATGCTTCCTCCAAGGATTTGACCACGTTCCAAGAAGAAAATTCATGTACCTGAATAGAATATTTTCTAGTCGACTCAGCCTCTCGTCTTGTGCGATCTATGAGATTTTCCATTTCAGCATAACTGCGTAAGAGCTTGTCCTTTGTCTGAGTCAATGCTCGGTCTTTCTCTTCAAGAAGGGCCTCCCGTTCACCTAGTAGCCCTAATAGATCTTCGTTCTCTTTTGCTAAATCTTTATCTGTTTTTACGTCCTGTTCAACACCTGAACCACAATGAGAGTTTCCATAGCACACGATTCAGTTTACGCCCAAAAAAGTAATTCTCATCAGCATGACCAAGTAAAACAATTGAAATTACAATTACACTAAAAATCAGAAATAGAGACGCGCAAGGCTCCAATATCATAATTTTACGACACTAAATTTTGTTGTGCATTGACAAAACAAGCTGTAAAATATTCCCAAAACATACATATGACACATTTTGTCAATTAATACAGAAATAGATTTTGTTGCGTAGAGGCAACACACGTTACGTCTTCCAAGCTAACAACGGATATAGATCCGCTTAAATGATCCTTGCCCAATTAACTGTAGCGATAAATGTTAGGTCTCTTCTGAAAAGCGAATACGGTCCACAATCCCAACCTGTAATTTCGATCTACTAACCTGTGCCACCTTTGTCGTCACCGATGCAAGGTTGAATTGGCTCGACTTTCTCTTCTGAGCTGGCCGCAGCCGCATCAGTCGTAGAGCCTCCTACTGCACCAGGCTTGCCACTCACTTCTGGGGAAGTAGCAGAAGAAAAACTGGCACTATATAAGCTCGGACATGATTCGAACGAAGGAGCGGCATGAGAGACCGGGGAGGCTGCAGATGCCCATCTGAACTGCGAAGAACACAGCCCGAGAAAGAAAGCCTAAATTTAATAAAAGGTACAACAAAGAACTGCTAGATCTAACAAATTCTACGGACACCGTTCCATCAATTAGAAGAATGTCAATTTAGTCCCAAATTATAAACTAGAATTCCTTCAAATTTGACACTGCAGGATCCAGAGAGAGACTCACAACCCAACTTTTAAAAATTCCAGGAAACCCTAATTCCGAATTCTTTGCCAAATTTTCAAGGACATATGCGTTACCTGTATATCAAATTGCCTCAAAAAACAAAACACACACACAAAATCATATGCAACCCATGCATTCGCTCAATACCTCTCAATACTCAGAAATATGAACGAAATTAGCCAATTACTTCTTAAACCCTCACTCTCAGGCAATACCACTTTCTATTTCAGATATTCGCACCTTTTGAAACGAGTTCATCAAATGCAAATCCGAATCTCGCAATGACTGCAGAGCAGAAGGACGACTACATTCGCGCATGGGCTTCGCGGGGGCCGTTTCACGAACAGCACCTCGGGCGACGCGCGAGGGCTCCTTTTTAAATGCTCTCAACAGAGCCCGCGCATAGTGCATGCTGCGCTGCGCGTTGCTCATGGTGCCCGGCTTTTCCTGGCCTTAACTTAACCCAATTAAAACGGGAGGCAATGTGGGTGACACAGCAATGCAGCGATGAATCGAAATGAGGCCTGGCGATCGTCACGAGCACGATCGATTGCGCGGAGACGACGACAACGACGAAGAGAGACCCATCAAAACCGTCGCCCCGATGCCCATAGCAGCAACTCCCAGCTCGCCATAAACCCTAATCGGGGATCCACGATGGATGAACGACGATGTCAATAAATGATAATAGTTTGTAATTATGAATATATCATTCGTTCTTCATTCGTTGTGCTACATCATTTCCTGGGGGTGTTCGAGAATGTCCAGCGAGCCACGGGAAAGGCCACTCTATAGAATGTGCTCAAAGTGGCGATCAGGTCTTGAGATACAGTGGTGAATTAAGTGGGTCATTGAGCATACTTTTGGCTAGATCTGGTATTGTACAAATAAAGAAGTAAATAAATGTGATGGTAGCAAGAGTCACTCTCTGAGGACTTACTGTGTTCTTGTAGGTAGTTCCTAACCACATGAGTACATTGCTATACATATGTATATATATATATATATATATCTACATGGATTTTCATGAGTATGTGAAGTGGGTAGTTTTTCAGGGATTTCTATACAAGCTACTGCATTCTCCTTCATGGTCTAAATGCCACAGTTTGATTGCATACAAATGTTTCATTTTAGTTGTAAAAAGTAAACACGCTTCTGGTAGACACTTATATATCATGTCATGTCTTTTGTTTTGCAAATGATGTGCACATTGTGAATTATGATGGATTAAGATGACTCATGACGTGTAATAGCCATGGTGATGATGTTGTGTTGGCATGGTTACTCTTTAATGGATGTAATAAAGTTATTATAGATTCCAGTTACTTCCATCAAGATATACAAATTGTTTTGATTTTAGTTAATGTACACATTTATGTAACAAAATGGAATGGAATTGACATGGCATTCAGGACGTGACATTTAAAGATGGCATTTTACTGATTGGACATTTTGTAATTATCTGCGTGACTATATACAAAACATGTCACATAAAAACTAATCTGTCCATGAAACTGTGTCATTGAGAACTATTTAGCAATTTTCGAAATTATGACCACCAATTTTCTTCACTACCATGAATTATAGTCCTCAGAATTATTTGTGGTTGCCACGTTTATCTAAAATTCCAGCTTCAGATTTTGAACTAATTAGTTTATAGTCTTCAGCATGAATTGTATTGATTCCAATTGAAACTGACAGCCAAGTACATTACTCAAAACTTACTAATTAAAATAATTATAAACTGTAATTTCATTGCTAGAAATAAATCAAGTATGTATAGAATCATAGAAAGGTTAATGCGGTTAGTCTCATCACAATAAATAACTTATCAATCTACTCGAAACTTAGAAAATACTCGAAATAAACATTTTCCAACAAAATGCTAACACAGAATTTTGAGACTAGAAAACACCTGCCTTTCTTACAAAAGCATTACATAGAGTTTACATTGAAATTCGAAAAAAAAGAAGAAAAACGACGAAGATATTTATTTAACTTCAAAACAACTGTAATATTCTTTCGTAACCATGCAAGTCTACACAATAATTATATACTGTTCAGCTTTCACACAAGAAATTACACAATGAAGGTGCTGACTCAGCAACTAGGCGTTACAAACCAACACAAGTAGAATAGTGAACGAATTCTCAACCACAAAATTGAAGAATCAGTTTTTGAAAAAAATTAGTTTTTATCTGAAACAGTGCTCAAAAGTTCTGTTCAGTCCACAGTCTAGTCGCTCCTGGCTTGAGCACTGACATGAAGGAAAGCGATGGAGAAGAGTGGCACATTCTCTCCTACTCACTGGAATTCGATATTGCAAAATGCAGACATACTTCGGCCATTCAGATCTGAATGATTGCTGAACAATACCTCGACCTTAAACCTCCATGTAAGATTCTGTCCACTCAATATGATTCCATCTCAACGTCCTACAAAACATAGTACTAAAAATAAATTTTCAATAAAAACATAGACCTGCAGGAGTCGCAAAAAGTCTCCAGAGGTTTTACGAAATACTTACAAACTTTTTTGGCACCACGCAACTCGAAAATTATGTTACAGAACCTGGGGAATCGACACCCATGAAGCCTCCGAATAGAAGAGGTTCACAAACAAGTATCCAATCGATCATCTAGCACTAGTGAGCTTGAGAAGGTCCAGATAGCTACAAAGGAAAGTTTGCAGTGAGTCGGAGATGCTCAAGCACGCGAGAAAGCCCAAATTGCTGCACAGCTGCTATCCCGTACCGAAATCCGTCCCCATAGACAGGTGATGAATCAGAAGCGATTTGGTGCAAATAGAATTCAGCAAGTCGAGTTTCAATAGCAGTTTGGCTGGAAGAAGATGACGACGATGATCTGCCACTTTTCAGTTTTTTAAGCTCGGTCGTCAACCATATGTGTGACATGACTTGGCATATACCCTCCTCAACTTCAGGGCGCATGTGTGGGAAATTCGGCACTGCAGACGGTTGGCATCACAGATTCATCACACCAGTGCTCAAAAACCGCAGTATAGGCAACTCTAGAAGAAAAGATCATAAAAGGGAGTAAATTGAAGATACTATCATAAATTGAATTGCTTCCGATTGCAAACTTACCTTGCAGACGAAGCCAGGCATGCATAAGTTCGTGAGCTAAGATAGAGCCCGTCAGTAGTCTGCAGAACCCAGACAGTAATTCATCAGTGAACAACATTGATGAGTAGACAACAGCAAAACTACAATTCACTACGCATAAAACTATGTGAATAAACAATAGCGTACAAGAGCATGAATTGGTAAGAATAACGGATTTTAGTAACCAAACCAATCAAACTAAGAAACCAGAAAATAAGACTTACCTAGGAAGTCCATACAGGACAAGGATGGCAGTGACTTCACAATGACGAGTTAGTTTCTGGTTTTCAGCCCGCATATGCCTCGTTGGAGTTCTAGATTTTCCTCCCCCATGCACCTGATGCCAATTAGATCAATTAGAATATGTCATTCGAGCCCCATAAGACGAGAAAGAACCGTGTTGAAACAAACTTGCACAATCGTTTGCAGAATTGCACTAAACTACCCATACTCAACGTAAGTCCTACGACAGAAAGCCTTGAAACACCACAAATTTGACACCTACAGTAGCATTAATAATTTCTGCACGCAAATTGCTAAGCGTTCATTGGGCTATTTAGACCTAAAATTTAACGTCCTTAACATATCGATTTCCCAAGTTGAATCATAGACGAACTCCAAAACATTGAGAAGCAGCATGCCGTGAGCTCACCGAAGTGATAGTTTGTTCCTCGGAAAGACATAAACCTCGTGTCTCCGCAGAATGAGTGTGTCCCTGCCACACAATAAAAATGGAATCATATTATTATCCAATTCTTTGTGATTCCATCCAAGCAACTGTACAAGATTCAGCACAAACCATGATGAGCATTGCGTACTCTAGTTTCAGGATAATCTGTGTTAGTCTGTTTAACAATAAAACGAATATAGCGCAGGGACTGTGATGGGACTTAACTATGATAATATGGTATCTTTGATGGGAATTTCAACTGTGAAGCAACATTCAGCCTAAAACTCAAGCATGAACAAGAAAATCAGCTTACATCTTTCTCGACATCTCGTGCTGCATTGAGGGCGCTTCGCGCAACTAAAAGCATAGGAATTTCCTGCTCGATTGGCATGCCGATGCTATCGTAATACTTCATAATCTCTCGGTACAAGGGTTGGCAGGCTGCGGTATCCACCACTATTGTGTCGAAGCATTCTAGACAGACCTTCCGGTCATCCGCCAACGTTCCTTGAGCTCCAGTTATTTGAGCCAAAGAAATGTATGTTCCTGGACCTCCAGCCTAGATCCAGCATGCAAACTAGTTAAAGAATTCCACCTACTACCATAATTTTAAAAAATCCATCGCGAAAAGCACACAAACACATACTGCAATGCTTATCCCCTCAAGAAGATTAATCTATAAAAGACACTAGCACTTCCATAAAACACACAAGTTTTTAAAAGTGCACTTATTCTGAGGCACATATTCTGTCATTATATTTTTTGTCCTTCGTTTTGCCTTTGACGCGAGCAAAGTCAATCTTGAATAAAAATGCTAATTATATTAGAAACCGACTTACCTCAATACGATCACAACTACAACAACGGGGTGTGCCATCCCTCTCATGTCTTGGACAATACTTTTGGTTCCAGAATGGGTGCGATCGATATTCTATAAGTCCGACTGAATTTGTTGGAATCTGTGCAAGAAAAAGAGCATAAGCCAGTGTAATGTAGGATTTGACAATAAGGCTGAGCTGCTGAAGAATATGCCATTCTACTTGTCTTGCACTAGACCATCATCATAAACACCGGGTCGATTTAACACTCATGATACAACATAGTACTAAAATGTATTGCAGTGCGATTGACATCTGAACAAACACAAATATTCTGCATATACTATGAGTACGAAGCCCTTACAAATTGCTCGCAAACTTCGCACTTCGGATGATAAAGCTCTTTGTAGCATTCACGATGATAAGCTTCACTCGCATTAACTGAAAACTGAGTTCAAAATGAGAGATGATCGAAGTTAGCAATATATTTTTAACATACCTTGGCATCCAACAAAGGACGCTTGCGTAACTAAGTTACAATGAGTGTGATATTTTGCTGGTAGCATCATGCTCTGCAGCTGAATGACTGCCAAACAGCAGGGGCATTGATAATTCTTAGATCTGACGCATGGAACAAAATCTACCGAAGTACTACAAGAAAGACCACAAGAAGTACCTCGCGATCTGCAATGGCTGTGCCGCATTTTTTGCAACAGAAGCAGTCTGGGTGCCAATTTCTACCCAAGCAACTCAAGAAGCGCCCATAACCAAGTGATTCACCGCACCCAGCACAAACAGTCAGGCCGCTTGACCTGCAGCACATAACCCGATTAGAAATGACTCGTAATTTTACTTTATTGCAACCAGAATGAACACTAGATAAATAATAATACAACGTCGTAACAAAAAATTAGAGAAAAAAAAGGAAAATCGTTAAGTATCCATTATACACACTGCAAAAAACATCTGTCAACTTATACGTGTGTGTTGACTCCAATGCAGAAAGTCCAAACTTTACACTGGCCAAGTTATCATGTGTACCTGGCAGGAGGAGGGGGGTATGAAGGAGTATAATCGGGAACCCTCCATGGGTCACGGTGCCCAAAATCCACACTATCTTGCAAAGCTTTTGCTAGTTGCTCGTCCTCATCCAAATTGTACACAGGCCGTGCACCTCCTTCTAATAAATAAATACATGAAACATCAGCTTCTGGGAAAACATGATTTAGTGACTTAGCAGCACCATCAACATACAGTCGATGCGGGCACGTGAGAGAAACAACCCCACGCTAGAAGCGTGAAGGCTGCACTTAAATTCGGAAAATGAACTTCTACATGGAACCTCAAAACAGAGAAAATGCTCTAGACACTATCGGTTGCTTGTCTCAATTCTACATCAAGAAAACGATTGCATTAAACAAGGACGTTGAGTCCAAATACAGTAAATTGAATCAGAAATTCACTTCAGAAGCAGATAATCAATTTCAACATTAGTTCCATTCATACTACTGTCAGCAACCCATGCTCAATATTCTTGAGAATACGTTATCTTCATGATCATAAGAAATCAATGAATTCATAAAACTGATCCAAGTGAACACGTCGCATGTGAATTGGAGCAATTCGAGACCAAATAGAATCACACACATACACACAGAAACAAAAGAAAACATGTGACGGATGATGACGCTCACTTGAACTTTGTTCTTCTTCTTCAGCCAGAGCAAGAGCAATAGCTCTATCAGTCTCTTCCAAGGACGGCTCGTGACGATCATTGGATGAGCTGTCGTGAAACGGCAGCCTCGAATCATAATGCGTGTCGTAGCCTTGCCTGTCGTAACCTTGCCTGTCGTAACCTTGCCTGTCATACCCATGCCGATCATTGGAGTAAGACGTTCCTGCACCATTTCGCATTCCATCCTGCAAGGCACAATCAGCAGAAGCCTTCAACACGAGTGTGGAAATTACTACCTTTCCACAGCATCGAAATCCTCTACACCCTCTCCAATCCCTGCTGTTTGATTCTATAAATAAAATCCGCCCCACTTCACAAATAAAATCTATCACGTAAATTATGCCTCTGCTCCAAACATTGAGTTTGCAAATCGCCCGAACCTCCGGAACAGGAAATCAGCGCAGGAGAAGTACATGGGCCAAAGAAAACAAAGCAGCTTACATCAAAAATGTTTGGGCCGTGCCAGCCTCCGGAACTCTGACGCGGGGCGTATTGAAGTCGAGGATACTCGTCTCCTTCACCGTAACGATAACTCGACCCAAAGTCGTTCCCCAGCAGTTTGTCAAACCATCCCATCTCTGCTTCTCTTCAAGTACAAAATTGAAATACAATGCAGATGCAGCCAAACCTTCCCTCCATACAACCATGGAAAATCAGGACCAAAACAGAATCCCGGAGCCACTCCTCTACAAAACACCCTTCACCAAGTGCGTGCAAGGCGCAACTTCATCAAGGGACTTCTCTTAATCAATTAAACTGACACACTCGACAAGCCATGATCGACGCAACTGATCACACTCAACAAACCACCCTCCACCCCTCCCCTTCCCTCCCCCCACACACACTCATCCCTTCTTAACTTCCCCCCATCGCCTTTTCATTTAATCTGCGTGCACGACCAGCTGCCGGCCAAGCTACACCCCAGCGCACCGCACACTATCGTCGTTACCCATGAGCTAAAACAAAGCAAGAAATGCATCCGTCAAAGGCTACATTAATCAACGAGCCAATCACCCTCTGCGTGAATTCTACGAACGTAGAAATCCGGAGAATAATTGACCCGGTACCGCAAAGTAGCTCCGCGGGTGCCGCCGCTGCCTACACCATCGCCCTCATCGCCATCTCATCGCCTTCGCATCGCCTCCTCTTCACCACCCAACATTACCCCTCCGTCCCTCCCTCCGCCATCGCCATTACCCATTCCACCCCAGTACCGATGAATAATATTTCTCACTGCGTCTCGGGATTCAAAGCCCGCCCTCACCCGCCGCAGATTGAAAAATTGAATCTTTCCTTCGTCTCGCCGCCTTTGTAAAATCTCAATCTCGGGGCTCGATCGCCCCGCCAGCGTCTAATTGTGGTTGACAACCAATCCGCCCATCGTATCCTCACACGTGTCATATTGATGGAAATGGACGGCCTTTTCACGGTGACAAGTCCAATGCGGTGGGAATCACGGTGGTGGGTTAAAATATTCTCGAATGGTCTGCCAGGTGGCGTGATCTTGTTGGTGGCGGCGATGAGCGGTCGTTTCCCTTTGGTTTCGCTGCGGAACTCTTGACTTATAATTGTTTTACCCACTGCATGGTTGAAATGAGTCGGGTCTGCGGATGGGTGGGTGGATGAATGAATTAATGAATGGACGAGACGATGGATGAGAACTTGCAGGATGAGATGCTTACTTGCATGTTTTAATTTGCTATCCCAATGTAATCTATTTGTCGATTCAACAAAATTTATTTATATTTAAATTTATTTTTTGTTGTCGTGTTATCCACCTGGTTCAAAAATAGCCGATCAGGACCCACGTTGGACCCTCCCCTCCCTCCCCACCATCTATATCACTTGTTCCTTCTTCTTTCCTTTTTTTGTTATTCTTGTTAGGCCAAACAAGTTCATCTATGGTTCCTATGGGGGAATGCTTCTTGGCCATTGACACACAGAAAGTGGGGGAGAATAGTCCATGGTGACATGGTGCCCATTGCTTGTTTTGACTTCAGAGTAGATGCTGTGTGCAATTCGTATGGAAGGAGTCTTCAACCCCCTGCCCCTACATTTATCACAACCTTGTATCTAGTGCTATCACTTTAACAAAAGAGTTCATTGCTAACTCTATTATCTTATTTTTTTTTGTTTTTTTTATCTGCCTAAGGTTATGATTTCTATTGCAAAGCTAGTTGATAGTGAAGGCTTGTTGACTTAGCTTCCATTTTGATAGCTTTACACATCAAGTCATGTGGAAGAGTTTTGGTTGTGCGGCACTCAATGTGGTGTGTGCGAGTTCAAAACCCTAATTTATTGGTGTGTAAGCCTGGAGTAATTTCTTTTTTGCATAGTTTCTTCTTTGACTTTGTGGCCAACTGATTCTGAGACCCATGCTCATGTGGTAGTACATGTGGTCTGTTAGTCTTACAATGCTTGTGTCGAGCTTGTGTCGAGCTTCTTGCGTAAATATTATAATTTTAACTTCTACTCTTAAGGAGGTTATGTAGGTTATTTTAGAATTATTAACACAAGTTTTACAAGCCAAACTCATTTTAAATAATGAGTTTAAGTTTTATTGTAAATAAAAGAATACAGATGACCAATCTGTACTTATTTTCCTTACCAAAAAAAAAGAAAAAAAAAAGAAAAAAAAAGAAAAAAAAAACCATAGATTTAATAACAGAGTGAGAATTTTAGTTTAAGTAAATTTTTAACAAACAAATCCAATAACGTGTTCTTTATTTTATTTTATTTTATTTTTTTACTTTTTTTATGAAAGTAAAATTACCTGAAACACAGGGTTACATTTATGGTTAACTTATAACTCTCAAATCCAATAAAAGCTGGAAATTATGTACATCACAGAGTTTTCATATATACATATATATATACATACATTTCAATTGAAATCGAAAAGCATTAATATTATTAAGTATTAACAAAAAATGAAAAAAAAGTTTTGATAGTAAATTGCTCCAACTCTTAAATTAATTAAATATGTTGGTACAATCTATTTAACTTTCTTGGAGATGAATATAAAATGTAATCATATTTAAGATTCTGATATGTCATTATACTATCTTTAAATGTATTTTTTGCATGTGGCAATTATAATATTCTACGATTTTTGTCTATTTACAATGTAACTCTAGGTATCTCAACAAGATCACCTACGGTGTGATTGAAATAAAACAGATATGATATTATTATTCAAAATTTAATTTTATATTACAAAAGAAGTAAAATCTAACTTAAATTAATTATTATAATAGCTTGGAAATGTGTAAAATTTATTAATATTAGTTTTGCACCATAAGACATACACTCTTGTTACTTCATTAAATTTATTTTAAAATATAAAATTAAATAAAAATATAAAATATACGTTAAAGTATTTTGATTTTGATTTTGATTTTTAAAATGATGAATTAAAATTCGTTTTTACCTGGTTTTTATTAATTCTATAAAAAAAATTATATTAAATGTTTTAGAGATGTAAATAACAAAATTGTAGTGTTTGTCTCTTGAATTTACTCAGGTGGATGCTAATATTATGATAATTTATTAGTTTCTCTCTAAATAAATTTAGTAAAATTTTAAATACATTTTAAGGCAATTAATACTACTAGAAAACCAATATTATATTTACAAATTATTATTTAATCTATAAATACATTTTTCAAAAATAAGACCAATTTAGAACAAGATACAAATAACTTCATGTTATTTTTTACCAATTTTGGTTACACACAATATGTAATTGTTTTCAACTGTATAAATTAAAATTATAAGTACTTGTTTCTATTATGTTTAGGGATGTTGTTAAAAACAAGTATAAAAAACATTTACTTATTTTAAAGTCACCAGACTGAAAAGCCAAAAAAAAAAAAAAAAAAAAAAAAAAAAACATGTTTTTTTATTATAATTTACTTTATTTGAAATCTCTTTAGATTATTTATTTATTTATTTATCCTCTTAATGGGTTCTAAATCACTATTCTAGTGTAGTTTATTTAATAAGCAGATTGTTTCTTGTTTAGTAACTAAGTTGCATGAGATCTACCTACTTAAAATTTTATAAGATCTTTTTAATTTAAGTCAATATCATTACAATTTTTTAATTTGGGTAGTATACATTAAAAAATAATATACACAAAAAACACATCAAATATTGGAAATAAATTGTTTATCTAAATGCATTTATAAGTGTCTTATTTTAAAGCTAAAAACATAAAGAAAATATAATTTAAATTATCTCTTTATATCTATATATATATATATATATATATATATATAATTTTTTAGAGTAATCTATTTTTTTAATAAAACATTTGTATTTATATATATATATATATATATATATATACACATGCATTTTTGAAATCTAATTTAAAAAATTTGAATCACAAATTCTTTGCAAGATTACAAAGTAATTTTATTATTTCAAGTTCCATAAAAATAATAAAATTATGAAATTCATATATCTATAAATATATTTTTAATTATTTTTTTCTAGACCCTAAACATATTAAAGCTTTTGAATTTTTTATTTTTTATTTTTTTAATCATATTAAACAAATGGCTAATAATGTAGACTCTAGCTTAGTAAAGATACAAAGGTTTTTATAGGATTGTTTATTCAAGGCTAAAAGATAAGTGGATGTTTAGATTTCGACAATGATTAATAAAATTGGCAATTGACAATTTTATAAGGTTATTTTTAATATAATCTAATTTAGGTAGGTATTTAAAATAATTATATTTGTATTTCAATGCATGTATGTATGTATATATATATATATATATATATATTTATATATAAGAGAATATTAAATAGACCCAAATTTTTACTAAATTTATCCACCCATCCTTACCATCAAGAAGAAGAAAATAATAATAATAATAAAAAAAAACCTCTATATTTATTTTTCTACTATAGGATCTCTATCTAATAAAATCAATCACATTCATCATGATGACTATATTTTTCATCAAAAGTGGGTACATTTAACATTCCCTTATACATATACGTATATATATAATTCTTGTATACACCAATCAAAATACACTTCAATATTTGTTATTAATTTAAAAAAATGAATATAACATGTAACATATTATTTTATTCTACATATATTTTTGCATGTATATTTGTGATTTAATTTTTATTTTATACTTCTTGCATGTCTTTAATAGATTATGGACCTTTTTTTATGCATACGTACCTGCATAAATTATATTTTAAGTTATTTAGTATTAACTTACATCATTTTAAGAGATTAAAATTATTATTTTAAATTATAATAGAGTTTTATTTATTTATTATGTTTATTTTATCAAAGATATCAGAACCCAATTTGATTAAACGAAATTAAGTATAATTTTTTAATTTTGGTCAAAGACCTATTTGGTTGATCAAAGTTTCTAAAAACAATTCTTTCTTTGAAGATTACGAAGAATTTTCATTAAGACAATTTTTACTTCAAGGAAGTAAAATATATAATTGTTGTTGGTTACAATAGATCTTTAGAACATTGTTAATGATTTCATAAATTACTCACTAATGGATGCAAGTTCTAAAATAATAAAGTAGTATAATTGGTATGAAACAAATACTTAGTACAATTACTTGCAAAAATAAAAGGAAAAAGGCCTTCTAAAGATATTGGATCTTGCATTTTAGAATCGTGACATTCATTCAAGATCTCTGAGTCAAGATTATACAGAGCACCTCGTCATAATACTCCATATTGAAAATAATGAATGAATTGTGTTGCAAGTGTATATAAAAACGTGAAAATAGGATTATACAACTGTGGATAATTTTGAATGAGGAATTTTGCCAACTTCAAGATGTTCACCATCTTCCTTCACGACATCCACTAAGTAAGGAGCACCTGTACCTGTATACAAAAACCAAAAATGATACCAAATTAAACAAAAAAACATTTGTGGGTAAACTGAAGAGACGAACAAAGCTACCAAAAAATGCACTAAAACCATTGTGACATAATACCATAAATGATGGAATTCGCAACACACCAGGGGGTAACAGATTCCTGAGGTAGAAATCAAGGCAGGCTCTGCTGTTGATGTCCTTCGCATTACGCACATCCAGCTTACTAGCCTTCCTGCAGCGAACCCATTTGATAACGATGATAAAGTTTAGATTCTTGGAATCTGTTTACATATTTGACACAGGTTCCTTGAGTTTCAGTCAGGACTCTCATGCTGTAATATCGTGAGGATGCTAATTAGTGCATGCTATTGAAAGATCCACTTGACGCTCAAACCGATTCAGACACTTGTAACCACAGAGGTTGGATATATATACCCAGCTCTCTTCAAGGCCTTCGCGAATAATAATGGAAAGTCAGATTGATCCTCATGAGACGTGCCCTGCACAAAATATCATCAAGTTAATAAACAAACTGGTAGTCGATGAAGCCTTGATTGCAGCTCCGAAGCTTATCAACTGGGCATACTTTCATCGTCATCACTCCGTTAGTGAGATTAATGAGCAACTCACTTTCATGGTTAAAAGCTCCGTGGTTGCTGATTCTCCATGTAATTGAGCTCGAGCACGCAGAAACTTATTACGGCTGTTTTGCAATTCCTTCCCGTTAAAGTGTTCCGTATTCAAAAGCAATACTGGCACGTTAGAAGCCGCTCTCTCATAATCAGCCTGCGTACAAATGCGTTTTTCATCATAAAATAGCTCCCAGCATAAAACATAAAAGACAAATCATCAACCATTTCTTTCACATTCCGATGTAAGAAATAATTTAAATCACAATAACTGTACTCCTAGAGCTTTCGCTTGTAGCCAAACTTCCAGGATGAACAATACATACAGAGAGTTAGCATCAAAATCAAGGCAGTCTGATCCTCACCGCCAAACATTGATGATTGTCATGGATAAGACTCCAAAATACAGTAAGCAGAGCGTAAAAGTGCGAAAAAGAGCACATTGGCAATCACAAAATGAAAGAACACACCAAAACTGCAATGTAAATGTTGTGATCCAAACGCCAAAGACAGTCCCATAATTCAGCTCCAACACGCTCGAAAGCTTAGGCTAATGTTGTGAAGATTAAAAGCATACCTTTTCCACAGGAGCCCACCATACATCTTCCGCTATGCAACATTTAAACCTTTCGTCCACACAACACACAGAAATAGCTGTGGCTGCCCCAAAAGAATGTCCATGAATCGCCAAATAGTCGAAGTTCATTCGTCCTTGCAGAAATTTCACATCAAGGCTGGTTCGTCCCTTGATCGCATTAGATTTCTGAGACAGCAATCCTTGATCCAAAGCTTGAAGCACCTCCACGGTTTTCTGGATCTCCTCGACCCTCTGGAAGATTCAAACAAGAACGGGAAATACACAAGTCTTAGTCCACAACAATTCATCGATTCCAACGTTTAAAGGTTTCCACATTGATTGTAATCAAAGCCATTAAAAATGTGGTTTATTCGCTAACCCAGAAAGCCATAGCAAGTGCTAAAATTCACCTGTCTAAGTTGTCTCGAACGGTCGCTCATAGGCACTTCGTTGAAATCAACATCAGAAAAGGCATGCTCTACCCATCTCCTTTTGCCCTGATGATCGTGATATTGAGCTATAACTGCTGACCCATCCAAATGCTCCACAGCTACAACAACTGCCATCTCAAATACTATTTGTTCAGCCAAAATGCTACTAACGGACAAGTCAAAAATTACAGGTAACTCTCTCTACAACTGAAGTTTGCAAAAAGCCTAGCCTTTTAATAAAGCAAAGAACATATCGCGTAATTTTTTCCAAACAGCAAACGAAGTTTTTAGCATGTCGTGTAAAACCTGGTAATGGAATGGTAAAAAGAAACACGTATAGAAGAGTTTAAGAACGATTATAATGTTCGGAACCTAACTGTAACCATGGGAGGCAATATCAATACAAGTTGCTGTATATGTCGTTCGACAGGCCCACATGCCATGAGAGAAAATGACCACTGGTAGGCGCCCTTCTTTGATCAAGCTACATTCTGGAACCAGTAAAGGTTGCTTTACTGATGCTTGCGTTTGTAAGAATGGATAGAAGAAAGGATAAAGTAAATCTGACAGGTATAAACAAGAGTCAGTTATCATACACAGGACATGCAACGAAATCAGAAGTCAATCGCAATAGCTGCAAATAAATATCAGGAGTAGATTTCTAAATCAATGACTGCAGCTAAATGAGGACCAAAATGGAATGTTAAACTTGAAAATGAGAATAGGTCTACAAGCTTCTACAAGTTTGCTCACAAAGTTTTGGTGCCCAAACCCCCAAAGATAAATCTCTCTTTCATCAAACTTGTTAAATTGATAGACACCGGGTTTTTTCTTTTCTCCCCCCCCCTTTTTTTTGCATTTTAGATTTTCCATTTTGATTTCTAAATTTTGTAAAATTGTGGCATAAAAGACAGAGGTTTCATAGTTTTTCTTAAAAGTGCTACTGAAATTGCAACCATCAAATCAGAGCAACAGAAAAGTGTGGAATCGACAGAAAGGAAAAAAAAAAAAAAAAAAAAAAAAAAGAAGAGGAAGAAGAAAACAGAAATGAAAACAAAGCAAAATATCTCCTCCAAAACACGTACATGATATCACCAAGACAACAAATCGGCGAAAACCAGTAGTAAGAGGCAATGCTTTGGAGAGAAACCCGCTCAAATAATCCACATTCGGCAACCAACTCCGATACTTCACCTCCAAAATCGACCACGTCTTCTTCGACGCCGTGGGATAAAAAACTCGCATCAACGGCCCCTTCCGCGCTTGGTAGCGTCTCTGCCACAGCTCCTGACCTGGCAGTACCCCTGGACTCACCTATCCGCGTCTTCTCACTTCTCCGTCGAAGCTCAAACTCCGCAAACGACACCCCATACGACCCCAAAGGCTTCGGCAATCCCATCCTTCCTCTCCTACAAATCCTTCCAACACACACACTTTCTCCCTCTCTCTCTCTCGCTCGCTCTCCAATCCCTCAGCTGCCTTCACAGCACAATCAGTCGACGTCTCTGCAAGTGTTGTTGTTTTTTTGATTTTTTTCTTTTTCCAATTGAAGACACAAAAGACTTGAATATGTCAGAACCCGTATATATTACATCTCGTAGGGTGCTTTTACTCCGCACCCTGGTCGCGGTTACTACTTTTCAGAATCGCATGTGCCCACAATCCCGCACGCGTTCACCATCGAATTGGCCACCGACCCGAATACCCACACCGACACGGCGAAAGCCCATTCAAATTTGCCGTTCCGAGATGGGACCCTGTTCAAACCACGAACACAAGTCCTGCGGTGGGAATAGAATCCATCCGACGTTACATTCACACTGCACGTGAAGACAGTTTGGAAAGAATAAGCGCTTTTTGTGGGCGCGGAGGTGTTCACACGGGCTGAGCTGTGTCTTCGCTGCTGCCACGTTGGCTGTCGTCGGGGTTTGTGCGCTTCTATGCTTTTGGCGCGAAGATTTACACGTGTCATCGACGTGTCGTGAGCTTCTTAAAGCCTCGTGTTCATTCTAGAAGAATGGGCACCGAAGCTTCATTGTTCATAACTTTCTTTAGATAAAATTTCTATAGCATGAGGTTCAATATTTGTGTTTGGATATAAGTTGATTATGATTGTTATCATTATCCATTGCTTTCTAAACCTCATTTTTATTCCGATTTTCTGTGTGGGTTGTAAGTAGATTTCCAAGATTCTTAGTTATGGATATTTTAAGGGAATGATGTGGTATGAGGTGTTGAATAATAATAATAATCATAATAAAATTTGTTCACGAACCAGGATAGTAAGAGATTAGTCATTTTTTCGATTTTTTTAGTTTTTTTTACTGCAAAGGTTTACACATATTAAGAGCACTTTCAAAAACTTCCATGAGTTAAGATTGTTTTGGTGATTATAATGTTGTTATTATTATTATGTGAGATTTTGTGTCATTTTGTTTTAGTTCCTTTTCTTTTTCTTTTAACTTTGTGTAGCAATTTCTAAAGTGTGGTTTGAATATCAACAAGTCACCCATAAACTTTCAAACTCATATAAAATATCTTTTTTGGTCAAATTGGAAAGTTTTTGATTGCATATTTATTCATTGGTTTAAAGCTTTATATAGATGTACTAAAAATATACATTATTTAAGCATTATTCACTAAATATGCTACTTTGATCCTAAATCCTGTAATAGAGGTCGAATTTTGTCCAAAGAAAACAATTACTGTTATTGAGTTTTTAATATTAGTTTACGGCATGAAGCCTGTCTTTAAGAGGTGAAAATCAACCGATTTACCTGAGTAACTTGTTACAGAATTCCAGCAATTTCAACTTAATAATGAACATGTTAAAATCTATCTAAATTTGTTATTTCAGAGAAATTATGTCAATCATTTGTGTTATTATTACACAGCAACTATCAATCACATATGAAATTTGAGATAACAGAATCTCTATGGCAGGATGTAAACTTCTACTTCTTTTTCTTTTAAAAAAGAAAACAATTCAAAACAATTCCAAAAAACTTATAGTTCATAACTGTTTGAGTGTTCTCATGTCTGTTTATGTGTATTTCTCTTGTAGTTGTATACTGACTGTAATGTAAATACTATGATTCTTTTTTATTTTTTAAATTTTCTTGTACCGTATACACGTTTTAGTGACAAAATTTATAGATTTATATCCAGAAATTGACCCATGAAAAGTACAAAATAAAGCTCAAAAAATACAAAATGTAAGATGATAAAGCTAAGGTTAAAGCTCATATTGTGAACCTTTTATAATTGGCTTACAACTTTAATTAAAACAAACAAACGGTCACAAATCAATAATGTTGTATTTTAATAGATGATGGAATGACTTCAATGTCCAAAATCCTAAGACTAACATTCTGATATTTTTCAAGTAAGATTTATTTGAACCAAAAAATTATAACAAAAAACGTACCAAAGCTCAAAGATTGCATTTTTTGAAACTTAAAATAAATAATTAAATAATACACACAACAAACTTGTGAAAATTGATCAAGTTGGTCTAAATTATTGATACATTTGTTTAACATTATACTCAAATATTAAGAAATAAAGAAATAAAGAAATAAAGAAATTTCAAAGCACTATTACCTTCAAAAATTGCAGAGACCTAATGTGTTAAATGCTGTATATAAACAAGCTGGAATTAAACCACTTGGTTGGAAGAAATAATGCTATTTATGATTTTTTTAAAAATAAATTCTTTTTTTAAAACCCTGAAACAACAAATCAATCAATGATTTAATGAAAGACTTTTTAATTCATGCTCAAAAATCACCTCAATTGTTGAATAACTCAAGCAGATAGAGTTGCAGCTCTTTCAATGTTGCAGCATTGAAGGCTGCCATGGTGGAATTAGGGGCATATTCCCTATTAAAGTAGAAAAGTGGCATGCATACATCTGGTTCAGTTTTATTGAAAATCAAACTTATTAAGCTATGCAGTTTGACTTCTATGTTGTGGTTTCAATAGTCCTCCATAGCAAAACTTCTGTCAACTACAGTAGCCAACCCATTCTCAACACACCCCCCCCCCCCCATTTCTGACCTATAGGGTGGTGTATTTCCAATCAACTTGGCATGATTAGTTTTGACATCTTATGGTTTCACTTTACTTAATTCACATTTTACCTCAATTCTATGGTGCTAATGGGTAAGAAATTAAGAATTTTTTGCCAACTAAGAAAGTTTGATGAGAAATCAAGCATTTTTTATTTTAATTTTCATTTTAACCTACATGACAAATTTGTGTTGAACAAAATTTTGAGTTAAAACATTAATAGTAATTCTGTTTTTGAGCAAAATGATGCAAAAACAATTGGAATCCTCTTGATTTCTATTTCCCTACATGGGGAGTTTTTAAAAATTTTCATACACATCCTACAGATATGCTAAAATGCTTAAATTATTGGAAATGGGTTGACTACCTTAATGTCTCATCCTAACAACCAAACTCCAGACTCACCCCAGAAGGTCATAATGGTACAGCATGGTACAGACCAGTGATTGGCTTGTTCTCTACTTATTGAAGATTGAAAGAGTTCAGTTTAGATTGCCTTGCAATTATTCTGACATGAAAAATGTGATGCAGGTACTTTGTACAAACTTGAAGTGGCAGTCTTTGTCCAGCTTTCAAGGTAAAGCTGAGATGGTAGAGTAAGAGCCAGCCTCAGATGTTTTTCTCAATGTTTGAACAGCCATGGTCACATCCACATGCTGCAGTTTCCCATCAGATATGGATGCCCAGCTCTGCAGTCAACAAAATCCAGAGCACATGATATCACCATCTGATCGAATTTCTATCTAGCAGGACATCTGAGCACACAACTTTACAGATGTATATCATTGGAGCCTGCTAGGTAGAGACTCTTCCAGCTGATGTTCATGGAGTGTCCAATATGGTGATGTGCATGAGAAGGAAGATAACAGTCTCTTGTGACCTGCTTACTTTGGTAGCACGCTGTGGGTTAGAAGGATGACAGAGGTGTTGTAAAATGTTAGTCAAGGATTGCAAAGATTGGAAGAAATACCAGTTGTTAAGGACAGTTTGTCACCCTGGTCATGGAGATGGCTATTATGTGCAGGTGCAATTAAAATTTGTCAGACTGTTTGAATGCCCTTCTAGAAAGTAGCTTCAAATTGCTTTTTAAAACTGGTGTAGGCTATTAGGATCAGTCATCAGCAAGCAGATGATTCAAGCTGCAATAGTATCATCATTCATTGATTCAGCATCTTGCACCTTGAGGACCAACTTGGCATCTTTTGAATGACCTCAATCTGCTCACATAGACTCCATCTCTACATAAAATAGAACTTTTGGTATGTAGATTAATGAGAATGTTTAAGAATCAATAGTCTGTCTGTACCTGAATATCAAGTGAACTTAAAGCAACAACCCTCCGCGTCACAGCGACAGCACAAGTGCGAACATTTTGATCGCATTGCTACAGAATTTTGAGACGAGTCTGCGATGGCGTCGGCATCTCAAGCGCACAGATTCGTTGAATTGGGTGTTGTGAAGATGATTCAAAGCTCTGAACAAAACATCTACTGATGCCTGTGCAAACTACTCATGTGACGTCGTGAAAATAAAAAGGATACAGCTCACTCATGGACTTCACACTCTGAAAACTTCTTTGGAATGGTTGCAGTTAAGACTTTCAACTTCGTCGGCTATTGTGTTGATCTGCAAGCAGAAATGTGAGAGATCGGTAAACAAAAGCATGCAACACCCCATTACTTCAGCAATTATGCAATGTACACACCGAGTTCCGAAACATCCACAAAAAGATGCATGCGGTCAAGTAGTATGCACGATAAAGGTGAAAAACATATTAATTGAAAATGCCTACCAGTAGTATTTATAAAACTACAACGGAAATTTGTAAAAGGAAACTAATTTCTTAAAAATCTAAAATTGAAGTCTGAAGAAAAATGAACATCCTGAACAAAAAACAATATAATGGTAAAATATAAATCCGTTAAATCATTGTAATTATTAAAATACTATTTCCGGTGTGACCCAAAAAATCATTTCCAAAACAATTCATAGCATCATGCTTAAAGATATCGATCAGAATTCGAAGCCTGCAGGGTCCAAATTGTGCTTGTACCTGCAGCTGGAGTCCACTGGGTACACGATGGTGATAACAGCGTGACGTCGAAGCTGTCATCATCGTCGTCATACCGCATCATGCGCGGTCACAATGGGAAGCCAGTGCATCCGAAGGGAAAAACTCATGGGGTCAGGAGGCACCGAAAATTCTTCGGCAAGACACATGTGGGTGAATTGCCTTACGAAGCACTTGACCCACACACCGAGGCTTTTGAATTGCGGCGCCAGTTTGTGCAAGTAAAGCATTTCTTAAGAGAATGCGCAGCTTGGCTAAAGAAGGAAGAATCGTTTCAGAAAATGAGAAAGAACAATAAATAAGAATAAGAAGCTCGATAGAAGGGTGGTCACCGTTGGTTTTTTTGTCTGAGACGTGTCTGGCAAGGAATAGATCAATCGACGATTTCTAATTCGTGACTTGGCTTCTAGTAGTTGTGCCAATTGTGGTAGGATTCACTCTGGCAATACAAGGCAGTAATAGAGGTACTGATCACTTGATGGAATTTTTGTGAGATGATATAGAAATACAGTAGATGATCATGTCAAGACATGAAACATGAAAAAACATCTTCACTACA